AGAAGTAAGATCTACATCATCATAGATCTATGAAGTAACATCTATATCATCATAGATCTGTGAAGTGACATCTACATCATCATAGATCTGTGAAGTAACATCTACATCATCATAGATCTAAGAAGTAAGATCTACATCATCATAGATCTATGAAGTGACATCTACGTCTTCATCATAGATCTGTGAAGTAACATCATCATAGATCTAAGAAGTAAGATCTACATCATCATAGATCTGTGAAGTGACATCTACGTCTTCATCATAGATCTGTGAAGTGACATCTACGTCTTCATAATAGATCTATGAAGTAACATCTCCATCTTCATCATAGATCTATGAAGTAACATCAACATCATCATAGATCTGTGAAGTGACATCTACGTCTTCATAATAGATCTATGAAGTGACATCTACATCATCATGTCTCTATCAATTAACATCAACAACATCATATATCTATGAAGTAACATCTCCATCTTCATCATAGATCTATGAAGTGACATCTACATCATCATAGATCTGTGAAGTGACATCTACGTCTTCATCATAGATCTGTGAAGTAACATCATCATAGATCTGTGAAGTGACATCTACATCATCATAGATCTATGAAGTAACATCTACATCATCATAGATCTATGAAGTAACATCTACATCATCATCATAGATCTATGAAGTAACATGTCAATCTTCATCCTAATCCCAATCCCAGCAGCTGGTTCAACGTCGGCCAATCCCGTCAGTCATCCACCCGTGACATCACTCGTCCAAAGTGTTTCGTTAACGTCTGTGAATGTGTTTCCCCACATTTCTGGGTAAATCAATCAAAGCTGAAGTCAGTGAGTCAGACCAACATGTTGTGATGGGACCTCACACGCCTGACCACCAGGGCGGCAGACATGGAATGTATTAAGTTTGTCTGTGTGGGAAAAAAAAGAAAGTGCACACAAGCAGGCGTGCAGTGACCGGGTGGGTTCTTACAGGACGTTGAACCAACGTCCAGCTGCAGCTGACCGTGTTTGTGTTGGTGTTGGTGGACGCTCACCCAATCAGTGACACCATCTGCTCCACTATGTGTTTGCTGAAGGTAATGATGACAAAGAGTTTCTGTGGGAAGAAAAGGGAAAAAGATTAGCATCAAAGTTAGAAACATGTGCAGAGGATTTTACACATTTCTGTAAGCATTCACACAGGACTTAATAAAAACTGACTGAACATTTCTTAAAGAAAGGCCTGAATAATTAAAGTGGAAATAAATAATTATTTTAAGTTAAAAATACCAGGCTCAAAATAATATAGCAGTTCATAAAAAACAACAACATTTAGTTCAATTCAATATTAGGGTTTTAGAGTGGAGGTCTTTAACTTCAATAAAATAAAAAATACAAACAGGAATCCATAACCGGGGTGGTATTTGAATAGCTTATTATAACAAAATAACATTTATATTTATCCATATCCATGTATTAAATCTACAATTATATCTTTGTGCTTTTGTTTACAAAGTTTGACACATTCAAAAATGTGCGTTGGATAAAAACACTTCAAAAATATTAAAGATCAAACACACGTGAGTCTCTGAACCAAAGACCTGGGCCTGTTCTAAAGAATCACCTGGAGTCCAGATTAATATTTGGATATTTTTAGCTGCACATCTGTGTGAAACTGAAGCCACATCATCATCATCATCATCATCATCATCATCCACAGACGCACTTTTTATAAAACTCAGCCCTGGCACAAAGTGAGATTTCTGACTGAGGAGGGGATGTGTGTGTGTGTGTGTGTGTTCTGCAAAGCACCACGGCGGGAGCCGTGTGGGGGTGACGGGGCGGTGGGGTGACGGGGCGGTAGGGCTGACCACAACGTTCTCCTCCGGTTCTGAAACTGATCAGCTTTAAACAGCGTGACACAAAGCCCCCCGGACAAAATCAGACAGGATATGACACGTGATAGCTGAAGGGGTTTATGTATAAAGAAAAAAAGGCTGCCCCCCCCCTTGTCCCCCCCACCAGCTTCCTGCAGTCTGGTTAATTTCCTTTTCCTCACACTGATCTTCTCATGTCCACTTCCAGCCACATCTTTATCTGCAGCGTGAGATCACAGGCTGGTACCACCAGGAGACGGAGTGGTCTTGATTGTTCACTCGGCGACTCAGCCGCAGACGCTCCCCTTTGGTCTGGCCTTACATTAGTCACTGGTCTGACAGACTCAACAATCCAATTTTATAATTGACATTTTTTTTGGATTTAAAGAAATTCCAAACTTCTGTTTTCAAAGCGCCCGGTCTTTTCATCTGGAGTGTGTTTACAGTCTCTGGATTCATCCCAGAGTCAGGAATCCCCAGAGGAACCCGGCAGAGACGGCGTTAACCAGAAGAAGAATTAGAACTTTTTCACAGCCGCCGCACAACCACCATCTGAGCACTATTTTATAGTTTATCTCATCCACACAGTTTGAGGTTGTGGCCACTGTTAAAAATGGCTGAGTCAGCGCTGCCTCCCATTTTCATAAGAGTGGATTTTTTTTTTTTCTTGCGTTATTTTGTGGATGACATGATGATTCATGTGGTTGATTTTTGTGTAATAAAACAAAAAATTAAATCTGTGATTTCAGTATCTGTCCTTCCGTCCTGGTTCATCTCTGACCTGTATGTGCATCTTGATGATGGCCTTTCCAATCAGGGTGGCACCAAAGAAGGTCCAGAAGGGAACCATGAAATGACCGCAGGTTATTCCAGCCAGGTCGAAAAGAGGATTAGGGATCTGGAACACACAGACGGTTCAGAGAAATGTTGAACAAAACGTTACATCTGAAATATGAATTCAACTGTTTTAACAGACATTTTTTAAACTTACGGAAGCACAAGTCAGGATCCCAAAGAACCCTACTTTCTGGACCAAATGCTGGACGCCCAGTTTTGCTCTGGAGGCAAAATCCTAAAATAAAATAGAAATTTATTGCACAAAGTCCTCGGGCCAGACAGCATTCACTTCAGCTTCACTAAATGGTAAATAAGCACTTGTACTGTGTACCACGTTAACAATTGTCAAAGTCTGCCACTAAATTAAAATACACGGATGACTGAAGCCATAATCACCATTTTCTTTTTTGTTTTTTTTACTCCTAAAATAACCGTGCACAGCCTCCGTCTGATGCGTTGGACTAAACAGTTGTGTTTGCTGCTGTTATTACAGGGACCACGGGCTTCACAGATGGTGCAGTGTGGTGGAGTACGGCACCTATTTCTGAGAACTGCAATTTTTGTTTTGTTTGATGACATTACAAATGAAAACTGTGTGGTTCAGAACCCCACAGAACCTTCTGAAAACACTTCCAACAATGTGGGGGCGAAAGGTCTGTGGTTCCCTGGGAAGATCACAGACGGTGCGGGAGGCAGATGATGAGGTCGTTGGGAAAAACTGGCACATCATCAACCAGCAGTTGGAGGAGGATTTAGAATTAAAATGTTTATAATTGGCTTCAGTGTCATCAGCGCTCCTTCAACGAGACGTGACTGCAGCTCTGTCACTCTGAGCAACTGGTGATGGTTATTTAACTCCCGGTGTAATATTACATCTGTAAATAAAGAAAACACAGTTGTCTATTTTGGGATTTTAGATTTAAGATTAGTCCAAGACTCCAAGAAAAGTTAGTTAAACAGACGACATAATTCCAATATATTCTGCGATTGTTTTCACTGTCAAATGGAACTTCTATTTATTTATGTCAGCAACGATCGCACAATCAAGACTTGGTATAAAAATATCTCCGACCAAGGGCAGAAACCGCAGCTGAATGTGTTTGACCTTCAGGCGCTCTTCTCAACCACAGGTCGTTGACCCGCGTGAGTTTTAAGACAAAATGAAACTACTCATTAAATTACATTAAATTAAATTATACATTTAATTTAAACTACTCATTAAATTACATTAAATACATTAAATTAAATTATACATTTAATTGAATGTATAATACTGAAGATTATTTTTAATCTTTACTAAATTCACATGAGAACAAAAAGAATCAGAGCTCAAGCGTTTTTGTAATTTCACTCATTTCCATGAACGGAGACATGTGACTCCTGCTGGTCTCCTCAGCAGCTCAGCTAAAACCAGTGATGTGTGAAGAGGTGACTGAGACAATGTCCTCAACTCTGCTGACTCAGAGTTTTGATCCCAGCAGCCTGCAGTCATGTGAGCCGAGTTCCTGACAGAAATGTCTGTCACTCAAATTAAAGGCAAAAAAAAGACAAAAAGAGAAGGGGGGGGGCAGAGGGAGCAAAGCCTGAAGGATGATTAAAAGGAGAGCAGAGCTCAGGGTGACTCACACACAAACAGACAAATTTACTGGAAGTGTTTGGAGGGAGTGGCTTCAGTGAAGTCACATGGCACCTCCGGACCAATCACCCGGGCTGTGGCTCCACGCTCGGTTTTGCATTATTAACAAATCAGATAAGACTGTATCCGACAGAGGGGCCGAACAACAACAAGTCCACGGGACAGACGTCTGACTGCAGCTGCTGTGTGTTTTCATTTAAAGACCGGAGGTTTGGTGAAGCCGGGCTCTAATCTGAATCTGACTCCCACCACTGTACAGTATCTGTCTAATGTGTCCTATTAAGGTGAGGTTTGTTTTTTTTTTTTCTTCAACCCCGGATCAATCAGGTCACGACTCAGGTAGCTAACGCTGCTTTATTCTACTTAAAGTTTCCTAGTACTTTTACGAGTACTTTTTACGCTTCCTCATCCATCAACGACGACTCTGTCACGGTCACGCCGCAGACATGCGAGTGTTTAACACTGACCTGGGCGCCCTCAGCCTTCTCCAGCATCTCCTCAAACTCCTCGTAGTCTTCGTCGTCTGGATCGGCTCCGGACAGACGAGCGGCTCTGGCCATGAAGTACGGAGGCAGCTCTCCGATGGCCGTCCCTGCGCCCTAGAACCACAGCACACAGAGTGTTCACACCTACAGGAAGTTGTCGTCATCAGCCCCACACCTGCAGCATGTAACTGACAGCTCCACCATAACAGACTTCAGACTATTATAAGACTTCAACACAGATCAATACAACACGTATTATAAGACTTCAACACAGATCAATACACTTTATTATTATTATTATTATTTCATGGCTAAGACTTAGGTTTATTTTTTTTAACCCTTTAAGAACTGCTTCTCTCAAAAGAACAAATGAAGTCTCAACATCACTGAGTACTTATTGTAATGTGATTACATTTCAACCCTGCTGTAATGCATCAGTCATTCATTCAGACATTATTATAAATATTCATGTATTCATTCATTCATGTATGCACTGACAAACATTTCCTACATTCCGTGGAGTTCACCATCATCGTCTCATCTCCGTAATAACACAGTTGATCCTCACCCACATGCAGGCCTCCAGCCGGACCTTTGACATGATGGAGAAGAGTGAGATGCCGGTCTCCAGCGCTCCACTCTGGGGACAAACTATCTGGTCCGGGTAAGGGGGCTCTGGGAAGTCTGTGGATCCACACTCGTAGGCAGCCAGAGTAACCGATGCTATGTGAGGACCCTGGGGGGCGGGGGGTACTACAGAGGGGGTTCAATGACAGACCTGAGATTCAACATGAAGGTACACACACAGGTACAGCTTTTGTTGCATTTTACCCACATTTCTAGAATAAATATTTGTCATAAGCAACTAAATTATGTGCAACAACAATGTGTATCTGTGTGTGTATTTTATAGACGTTACACTGCTGTGTCATGTCTACATGCAGCTGATGGTCTCTCTCTCTCTCACACACACACACACACAGTGCCCACAGCCACTGAGTCACAGAGACTCTTTGACAGACAGCCCATGTCATCATTCATCATTAGGTGAATGTGGGCTGAGACAGAGCCACCTGGCCTCAACACCTGTAACTACAACACAGCTACTCCATTGTGCCGCCTCACAGCAGCGCAGACAACAGTGACAGTGAGTGGACAGCTCACAATCAGTGTGTGTTGACCGCAAACGCAGCTCACAGCAGGCTGCTTCATTTCCACAACAGAGTCTCCTTCAGATCAACAACAGGACGTTTGAGGAGAACGTCTTCAGGACACGACAAGTCAGTGTTTGAAAGGGAACAGAACTCGACAGTGACTCAGAGTTTGTAACCAAATTCTCCGACAGGTGATTCAGTGACCTGGTACTAAACTTTCTTTTGTTTGTTTGAGCGTACAATAAACTGCATGCAGAACAACGGCCGTCTTTGTTGGGAACAGAAGACGTTCATGTGAAACCGCAGATCAACAGAGGACGGGCAATAATACAGCAACGTCAGCCAACACCAAGTAACACCTCGAGCTGCTGTGTAACAACAATACTTCCATTCAGTCAACAGTGAAACTTTCTTGTCAAAATAACACACACGCCTGCACTTTTTTGTCAAAGTAGCGACATCAGACGACGACCAAACTCAGCAGGTCTTTCAAACAAATTAATCATTTGATAATTAAAACACACAACAAAACCCTTTACTGGACCTGTGACACATAATGAGTCCCTATAGGAAACACAAAGAACAACCCTGGTGAGGTGTTGTTAAGATGAACAGGGAGGTCGGCGTCTGACCAACTCCCTCCACCCCCCCATCTGTACAAGTACTCCTTAGAACAGTTACTAAAATCAAAAAAACATAAAGATTTAAGTAGGTTTACTTTAAGAAAAATCACATCCTGACCTCCATACCACCACCATGAATCACATCATAACTCGGTGAGTGAATCCCCGTTCCCACGAGCACGGTGAGCTCACCCTCTCCATGGGGCTCACTAATATTTCTTTATACTTGAGGTGACTTCACAGAGCATCTCAGCTGGTTCTTCCTGTGGTTTTTAAGTTTCCACGCCAACACGGGGAGTTTCCTAGTCATGGCTGACATCAACAGTGAGTGGACACTGACTTTGTGCTGAGAACATAGATAAACTTTGGAAATAGGAAATAGTATGACGTCATGTGAAGCAGCATTGTTGAAAACATCCAGTGGGATTGAAGTGGTACAGTTGGTCCAACAGTGACACACAGGGGACCAATGGTTGGTGTGAATGGACAACTTGAATTTCCTTAAAGGCCACAGCCTCAGTTTATTTAAACCACTTCTTACTCAGGACTTTCCTTCATTAGAAACAGACTCAGACGATATAAGAACGACTGAGCTCAGCCAGATTTTAGAACAGGTTTGCATCTTTTAAAAACAAAAAAATGTAACACACTTGAATGTTCACATATGCAGCAATTTTCTCTTACTGTTTAACGACAAACACTTCCTTTATTTTCAGGAGCTCCTACCAGCAGGGGTCGTTACATAAGAGGCATTACTGACACATACTTCTCATTTTGGCTGCGTTCTTTAGGGTCGGCTACAGTCCACCGTCAGCTGCCCTCTCACCTTCTACCGTTACACCAAACACCTCCATGTCCTCCATCACTGGGTCCATGAACCTTGACCTCATCATCTACAGCATCTTCTTCTCAGCTCATGTTTAAACAATCTCCACCTCGACTCATCAACTTTCCACTCCAGCTTCCTGTATTTGACACAGTCACTTCAGAGACCTCACCCACTGAGCCACTGAGCCACCACTATTCTTTGTCACACACCAGTGCTGACACTTGTCGCTTCCTTCTTCACGCCACCCTGCCTGCAGCCTCTTAGGTAGCACTAAGCTGCATTACTGCCACCTACTGGTTAAGCATGTTTAACCTTGTCTCCTGGACTACAAACTGCAAAGGAAAAAAAAAATATAAACACACAACAACACATTTACACTTTGACTGACCAAGGGAATTATTTTGGTATGACTGGATGTTTAAAAATATCCTGTTCATCTCACAGTCATATCTTCCAGGACTCCCAAATGCATACTCTTACACTGAGGAAACTGCCACCACCCACTGTCCACCAGTTATATTCCAATATTGGTTATATATAATTATATTCCAATAACTCTGAAAACAGAACCTATAAAAGTATCACTGTCTACAAATACGTGGCAGGACTGGAGAAGATTATACACCAGCCCTGGAAGAGAATGGTGTTCCCTACATCTTTTTACACTACAAAGAAAAATAAATGACTCAGCAAACCCACGTCTGCCACATCACATGATTCAACAGGACAATTATGGACAACTTCTTCCTTACTTCAGTTTTGATAACTGCATAATAGTATAAATGAGACCCGTTTAGGTGATTCACACATTTAGTCACTCACTGTGACTGAGCCACTTATTGTACTCGATAAGAACAATCAAAGAGCAGGGAGAAGGACGCCATCCACTGGCGACAACAGGCAGCACATATGAATCAAGTATGAATTGTAGTGTTTAACTTGCATCTTATGTTTGTATATTTAATCAAATAATAAAAAAAAAAATTACCACCAAACTTTGCATTATCTTAACACAATTCTGTGCAAATGTGTAAATAACAGCTCCTACAGTCGGCATCATGTCTGACCAAACCATCAGTAGAAGTGTAGCAGAAAGTGGTGTACATGGTAGTCTGATATCAGAGCCTGTCTAACCCTTATGGATAGATGACTGAAATAAAAATATATTTCATTTCAATTGACTGGAATTAGACCCTAAAAAGGTGAGACAAAGCACTGACCCACATTGTGTGTGTGTGTGTTATAGTGTTGGCTTCTTACTAGATAAAGCAGAAATGTGTGAAGTCCAGTCCCAAGGCCGACTGAAGACAGGATTCCGAGACCTACCCAGTAGGCACACCATAGGAACCTTTTCTCCAGGTACTTAACGTACTACAACGGAAAGGAAGTCAATTTAAGAAAAGCACAAATGAAATATGTATGACATTTTAAAACATTTGGTGTGAAACAATGTCTCCGTATGACAGGAAATACATAAAACATTAAAAAGAATATGATCATCAAACAACTTTCAAAATATTTTTACATGGATAATACATGCAAATTTACATGCAAATCAAATTAGTATTTATTTTATTCTACTTTAAACTTAATCATCTGTGGATGCATTTTACTGGAAGAATGTTTTAAATTTACTTTAAAATTCTTAAACTTTGTAGATTCAATTTTTCCACCCTTTGACTTGAACCATGACACATAACTGCCCTGGGGAAATCTGAAACCAAAGGTTTTTTTCAACTAGATGATCAAAGGTTACTTGACAACGAGGCAGATCACCTGAGTGTCTAACACTGGAATTCTTCTCTGAGTGTCTCAGGAGACAAACAACCACTAATCCTTCATTATGCAGTGACAAAGCAAGGGGTCGATTATTAACAACGCAAACATTGTGAACATCAAACATTGATCACACAGGTCTTACTTGTTGGTGCGCTCCCTCGGTGGAATACATGATGGACAAAACAAAACACAACACCAGAAATAGAAACACGAAGCCTTCTCTGCCAAAGGCTGAAAAAAAAAAAAGACAAAATTAGAAAAATTATCAATAAATAACAACAACATAAAAACACCACCACTAAAGAATAGTAAGTACACTTTAACTGTTACATATGACTTTGTTTTACATCATGTCAAACTTTCCTTATTCAAAGCTTGTCACAACAACAGGGAAAAACTTTAACTTTGTAAAATGGTTCACAAACCACAGCGGAGCAGAAAAACTTGTTTGGACGTCTTACTTTAACGTCCATTCCTTAAGTTTGATGAGGGTCTCCAAGAGGAAGTAATGCAAAGTGGTGACCGGCCGTCTCCAAAGAACCAGTGACATGCGCTCCTCTTTATCTTTCTGTTTGTTCTCCTTCTGTGACTTGTCTGAAGGAGAAACAGAACGTTGATCCAAATGACCCGTAATGATCACTGCCACTTGTGGGACAGATAAATCTAAATACATAATGAAAATCCCACTGAAACATTATAAGCAGTTCTTAACGTGTTAGTCAACCTATCTTTGTCTGTGGGTAAGCTGTTATCAATCACCAATTTATGACTTTATATGACTTTTTTTTAAGCCTCTTATCATTCTGTGTCATGAACGAGATCTATTGGAGTGACAGTTAACTTCTGTAAATGCATATACAAAAAAAAATCTTAAAAAGATTAAAAAACATCCACACTAACCTATTGACCTTCCATTCTGTTTGTCTTTAGCGGCTGCACGCCTCCGTGGCTGTTCACAGTTTGCTCCGTTTGCTGCCATTTCTATCCCCGTTCAGTAGGTCGAGTCAGTCTGTCAGTCTGGGACAACAGAGACTTTCCTCACTTCAGTTAATGACGGTCACGAATCAGTGTTTTCCAACTGACACCGTTGACCAGTCACGCTGACAGTTCGACTCCTATCAGAGACTCTTGAGCAATACACTTTAGAGTTGTGTTTGTGTTGACAAGAAACCTTGCGTCAACCTAGCGGTCATGACAGATATTCAAATGACATGGTTACATTTCCTGTAAAAAAAACTTTCCGTAAAGCAGTCATTTTGAACAGCACGCTGTCTAGAACACAGAATGAATTCACAAAACAAACATAACAACCCAAATGTTGTCAGTCAATAGAAAAAAAAAATCACATAACCAGCAGCGTTCACCTGCCGTCCACATGCTAACCGGTTAGCTTCCGCGCTAGCGGCTAAGCTAAAGCACGTTAGCACTTCTTACTTGTAAGAAGACAAGTACAATTTTAAAAATGTAACCTTACCTTCGCAGGTGTCCCTGAAGTAACCTGGAGCCAATTTGGAAGTAACGACAACGAAACAGAACACAGGGGACAGAGTAGGGATGTTTAGGCACGATGTTTGTACAACATTAAATGTAAGCGTTATTCATTCCTAACGCCTCACCCGGAAATAAATCAAAGGACCGTCAAAGTAGAAGTACAAGCTCAATCTGTGACCTTATCTGCTGCAGTGTCGTTCAGGTGCAGTGTCGTTCGGCTCGAGAATATTCACAGGGTTGTATTTGAATCGACTCCTGGAAGACGGAGTTAAATTACAAAGAGTTGACATCAATTCCCCGAATACCTCCGTAACTTTTCAACGTTTTATTATGAAATTCACTGAATTACGTATTTCCGACCGGCGGTCCAATAGGATGTTGCCAAATTTTTTTTCACCGATTACCATCTCAGCAATACACAGTTAAACTTCATTTACATGTTTAAAAAACGAATTTGTTCCCAATTTTTTTTTTGATGCATGAGGAACTTCTATTTGTCTTTGTCTCCTTCCATGACTATCATTATTATCAAGTCCTGTCGTTCCAATATCACCAGAAAACTGCACACAAAATACTCAATAGTTCAAGCCAAATGTCTACTACAGAAAGGCGTTTAAAAGTGTTCTGGAAGAATGTAAATCCACACGAGTTCTTCACATGACCAGACTTTAAGAACATCAACATTTCTTTACAGAACTTTAACAAACATAACACTGGAGAAAATGTCCACAAATTCCTGTCCTTGTAATTCATCTTATCAATTAGTGATAACTTGATTTAGTGACCTGCAGTCAAATATTGACCAAAGCCCATTCTGTCAAAATACCAAAAACAAACAAAACAATATATTTTTGTTGCTGTTAAAATGTAATTTTAACAGAACATGAGGATAAAGAGTCAAACAAAGTGCCAAAGCTTATCTGCAACTGCTGCTTTAACAGGGTTTGATGCAGAATCGCAGGAAACTCAACAGCTCCCCCCAGTGGATGACAAACACATTGCAGCTTATCCAGTTTAAGGCAAGTTGCAAACAGGAACCATAGGCACTGGTCAAGCAGATGGCTCAATCTATTCCTGGACCTATGGATGTAGCAAAGTCCTTCTGTGTTTGAAGTTTGGTGTCACTCATCATAGTGGAGAGAAGACAGAAACTTATCCACATCCAAGTCATGGGGAAAGCAATCGACCAGCCTCTTCCTTTCCTGCAAGGTTCAAAGAAAAAAAAAATCAAAATGAGATGATGAGAAATATATCAGTTTTTCTTAAATTAATAAGAGCATCTGAATATAAAAGCGAGTTCCACGTGGCGTTCGTACCCGGTCTTTCTTTCTGCTGGGCGAGCGTTTTGGCTCCTTCTTTGCAGGTGAGCTGTCTGAGGCAGACGACTGTTTCCGTTTCTTGGAGTTCTTCAAGCTACTAGGCGACTTCTCTGCTGCTTCTTCCTGGCGCAAACTGTCCTTGAGCGGTGTGCCCGTCCTGGCGATGGCAGCACGTGACAGGATCATGAGTGTGTGGGCAGCCATGTTGATGCTGCTTTCACTGCCAGCCTCACTGGCAGGGCTGCAGGTGGGGACGTCGGGGGTGTTTGGCGGCATTAGACGCTTGGGGGTCCCTTCTTTGTCTTTAGCACTGTTCTGTAGGGAGGGAGTCCTGGGAGAGTCAGTGATCTGGCCCTGGTTATGGCCGGTACAGGGCGTCCTGGGCAGACTCGGCTC